GAAGTGCCTGTTGTAATGTATTGCGACGTCTAGAGTGGGACCCAAAGTGAAGAACTGAGCCACATAAAAAGGGGAGCGAAGCGTACAGCGCAAACCCCTTCCATAAATATGGACAATGCAAACACGAAAAGTGCGTGTGCATAGCCAGTCAGGAACCAGGAAGGCCTGGTGAGGCCTATAACCCGGCGACCACTGTATGTGGGAGCTCATAACCAAGAAGGCCTGGTGAGGCCTAAAACCTGGCGACCACAGTATGTGGGAGCTCATAACCAGGAAGGCCTGGTGAGGCCTGTAACCTGGCGACCACAATATGTGGGAGCTCATACCCAGGGAGGCCTGGTGAGGCCTGTAACCTAGCGACCACAGTATGTGGGAGCTCATAACCAGGAAGGCCTGGTGAGGCCTGTTACCTGGCGACCACAATATGTTGGAGCTCATACCCAGGAAGGCCTGGTGAGGCCTGTAACCTAGCGACCACAGTATGTGGGAGCTCATAACCAGGAAGGCCTGGAGAAGCCTGTAACCTGGCGACCACAGTATGTGGGAGCTCATAACCAGGTCGGCCTGGAGAGGCCTGTAACCTGGCGACCACAGTATCTGGGAGCTCATACCTAGGAAGGCCTGATGAGGCCTGTAACCTGGCGACCACAGCATGTGGGAGCTCATGACCAGGAAGGCCTCGTGAGGCCTCTAACCTGGCGACCACAATGTGTGGGAGCTCCTAACCAGGAAGGCCTGTTGAGGCCCGTAACCTGGCGACCACAGTATGTTGGAGCTCGTAACCTGGTGACCACAGTATGTGGGAGCTCATATCCAGGAAGGCCTGGTGAGGCCTGTAACCCAGCAACCACTGCATGTGGGAGCTCATAACCAGGAAGGCCCGGTGAGGCCTGTAACCCGGCGACCACAGTATGTGGTAGCTCATAACCAGGACCTGAGATTCTGTCTTCCGCAGGAGTTACGCCTCCTGCATGCCCTACTCCCCCTACTGGGAGGAAGGGGTGCACGGACGCAAAAATGGTCTTATGGGTCTGTCTGTGATACTCAGACCATGACAGACCAGGCCCCTCCACCTGCCTTTGGCTGGGCAGAGGACCGTCGCGTTATGCAGCTCTTAAATGCCGCAGAACGCGCCCTCCCTGAACTTATCGACCATCGTCTCGACGGAAGGGCCGAAAAGCTCGGAAAGCGAAACCGGCGAATCAAGAGAAAAGTTTCCTTTCTCCCCTATGTCAGCCTGGTAGAGCCACAGATGTCAGCAGATGGAACAGCAGATTGCTTGGTGGCCCGGAGTCCCGCAGCAGATCGGTCTGGTGGGCCTGAGGACCACAAGGGTGTGCAGAACTGCACCTGCCTGACCTGCTGCAGTGTATGCTCTGTCATTCAAGCATGAAGATGTCTTGAGCAGCTTGGATGGCAGGGTCAGAGCTCTTAGTGAAGAGGACCGACCAGAGGCAAGATAGTTAGCCAACGTCTTGTCCACTGGCGGCATCGACACATATCCATGCTCCATGGCTCCCTCCACAGCAGCGAAACTAGCCCGCTGATGCAGATAGAGACGTGAGGAGAATGGGTTCTTCCATACCCTCTCGATCCCAGCGTGGAGATCGGAAAGGAATGGAAGGCTCATCCGGGCTGGTGGCTTACGGGTGGGGAGGAACCCGTCATCCAAAATACCATGAGCGGGTTCCTCCCAGACGTGCCTCCACTGCAATCTGTCTGTGGCACGCCCCATAATGTCAACCAGCTCAGCGTACACTGGGCAGGAGGGCTGAGATGGTCTGGTCTCAACCAAACTGACATCCTCAGCAGCCAACTCCTGCATAGCCCAAAGAGAACAGTTACAGAGCAAACATTTTTTTTTTCAAATTAATTTAATTAATTAATTAATTTATTTTTCTTTCAGAAAGAGAAAGAAAAGTAGCCTGGTTCAACCAGACTCTAGTTCATTTCATTTCCACATAGAGTCTGGAACCGCTCCATTGAAAAACGTTTCCTTCCTTGTAGGCGGGTTCACTATTAAAGTTCAAATCTATTGGATCTGCCCAAAGTCACTCACGATCTGCCATAGCCAATCGCTAACGGGGTGTCGTGAGTGACGTATGTCACGCGCCGAAATGGCTGGAAACAACAAGTCCGAATGATCAGAGGATTATGTTTACAATAGGATTTCAGTCAACGAGCGCCGCAGGTTTTGTTAATCTAGGAACAATTATTAATTCGAAATGTATATTTGACACGAAGGACAGTGATATATTCATTCAATGGTGGAAGCTGTGTCTAATCATTACAAATACGCCGCTGTGGTCGTTTCTGATCTGCCGCAAATGCTGTAGCAGCTACAGTGAATGATCAGTCTGTCTCTATCTGCAGATGTGTAATAAACAACAATTTTTCATATCGTCTTATTGTTTCTTAATTACCTTAATTATGGTCTTCAAAGTATGTGTTTGTACATTTTTATGTGGCATTTATTTTTTTTAGTAAAACAAATCAACCATTGCCATCTAAAACTGAAAATCAAATATCTTCAAAGTATGGTTTTTCACATTTTTATTTATGACAATTATTTTTTTTTAAATCACAACCAATTTGTATTTACAACATGTAAAACTGACACACCAACCTCCTGCACGAGTGCACAAGGGCTCAAAATGTTCTATTCATCACAAGAATCAGTAAATTTACAGTTGGGATATGAGCGACTGACATGACTCCTGAGCGGATCTTCAACCATAGTTTAGCAGCCAGGACTCGGGGCTTCCAAACACCGCGAACACCAGGCTAAACCGTCCGTCCAAAATGTCACGGTCATCGTGCACGAACTGCCCAGCACAAACTTCCAAACTTTCTGCCTCCTTCACTTGGTCCTCAGTTGTGCAACAAGAGGTGAGACGATAACAATCCGGCTTTAAATTCTATATATTCGGCAGTTTCTTTTCCAACAACGGACCGAATAGCTTTTCTCACGTCTTTCTCCGCTGCCATTATTGAATTGAAACTGACGCGCTTACATCAACGTCATCTTTCTCAGCCACTCCCTCTATTCGCTGATTGGTCCTACAAAAAATTGATTTCTGGAAACCTAAGGATATGGAGCGATCCCAGACGTAGTACAGAAGTAAAATGAAATTGAGCGGAAGTGCGTAGGAGGGCGCAGCCAGGCTAAAAGAAAAGAGCTTCAACATTGATCTGTAACTCACCCTTGTCAGCTGGTAGATCATCCGCAAAGTTAACGCCCCTTTCCAGATAATCTGCCAGCTCCATCTGAAAGCTCCATGAGCTCAACCGCCACTGAGCCTCAGCTCGAGCGGGAACCGGAACTGCGGGGTTCAGATGCCGCGCCCACTTCCCTCGAGAAGTGGGACTGACGAGAGCAGAGTTTTGATAGGAAAACTCTCACAGTTCGCGCAGAAAACTGCCTTGAGAGCTTCCCGTGCGTGCTCTTCTCCCAGGCAGAACATGCACAGATCGTGTGAATCCTCCGGTGTCAAATATCTGGACACAGGTCGGCACACTCGCGAAAAGTGTTTCTCCGCGTCTCTGCACGCTTAATCTTTGATACTATCAAACAGACAAACAGTCCCTGAAGACGAAAGGATGTTGTCACGGTTTCAAGGCGCCCTTCTTATACATCCAGATTGATGCGCTCATCATTCAAGCTGATGATGCACGGGCTGTCGCCGGTCAACCTGATTACTGTGAGTTGATATTTCATTTCAGACACCTGTCACGCCTGAGGCGTACCCCATAGCGTCATTCGACATATTGTTGAGTTCCCTTCGAAAGGGAACTTTGCAAAACTCCAAACATACCTACAGTACTGTAATTTACTTCAGTTTCCAGCTGAAATAACCACTAGTGGCAGTAAAACACCAAATTCTAACAATCCTTTTCACAAAAGTTATGAGATTATTAATAAAGACTTATGCGCGGTTCCTTGGGTGGTCTATGTTATCTATGTTATGACCTGGTCTATGTTATGACCTCAAAACACTGTAAACTAATCTACATTTTGATGTTTGCATTAAAGGTTCTCTAAGCGATCCTGGGTGTTGACGTTCGGAATATTTTCAAACAAATCGGAGGCTAGCTAGACCCTCCCTCCTCCGCATCTCATCTCCTCCCCCTCCCTTCCGTGCTTCTTGAAATAATTGTGAACGTGCATTTCTAGCAAATTATATCCTTGTGTGGGTTTGGCGAACATAAGCGTCAATTTAGAAGAAAAAAAACAATTTAACGTTACCCACCTGTCCAGCAAAAACAGAGCAACCTGAATGTCGGACTGGAAGCCCTTCTGCCGCCGGAGTTCTCGCCATCGTTCAAAAGCTTTGCTACCGATGTAAATTCGGAACTTCGCACGTTCTTTATCCGTCTCCTTCTTTTTAATTTGTTCCTCAGAACGACGTCTCTTTGGTCGTATCAGCCATTTTTCAAACTTCCCTCTGATGCTTCTATCTCCTTCACACACACACACAGTGCACGCGCACTAACCCCCCAGACCCCCCTCAAATACTTCTTGCCAGTGATTGGCTGGAACACTGTTTGTTAGGTTTCGTGGTCCGGGTGAGACATGATTGTTTTTGTTGCCGTTTTCGGAGCCTGTGGTGTCTACAGAGACTGCGTTTTTTTACAGTGTGTTTAGGGGACAGGCAGCTAGCCGATAGTGAGGATACGTTTGATGTATGTGACAAAAAATGTTTTGGCCCCACATCGCTTAGAGAACCTTTAATCGCCTCATTAGATATGGAATTTCTGATAATAGTACATGGTCACACTGCCAAAAGGTTCAATAAAAGACCTCAAAGACTTAAAGAAGAAAGCTACAATGCCTTGGTTACTTCTGTCAATATGTTTTTAATATACGTGGTTTAGTGTGCGTTATTTTCAAAGCAATAGAGCATTAATCCCTCAGCGCCACTCACTGGGCATTTATTTTCTGAACTACCACGTGCATAAACAACCAACATATTAAAACATGGCCAGATTCATTAATAAAAATTGCCACTCACTGGCTTTGAAAGTGTTGCGAAATGTGCAAGAAGCATTAAATGTGCATAGTAATTTAGCCACAAAATGTTGCCACAGTCACATTTTTCCCAATGAGCCCAGGTTGGTGAAATACATTATAAAGCAAACGTTAAAATCAGACCACAAAAAAACAAAACAAAACAACAACAAAAACCGGCTTGGCTACTTGGCAAACTTGATCTGTCTTCTAGGTCTTTTCAGGTCACAGCTACTTTATCTGCACTAGGAGTAGGAGACCAGAGATGAACAAAAGCCGCGTTTCCACCGCAATTACCAGGAACTATTTGTCCCAGGAACTTTTTTCCCCCCAGATCGCTTGCTTACTGCGTACACACCGCGGCCTAAAGTAACGGTCCGGGGCGGGAAGATTATGTAGTGACGTTGAACTGCGTGCGACTGCTCTTCCTAGCCTGCGCGTTTGTTTTGAGTTTTCTATGGAGGAGATTCAAGCTGTGCTGCTTTTGTGTGCGATTGATTTACTAACGAGGTAATTAACAAAACGGCAGAAAAGAGACGAGCACCCAAAGCGTATTCAGAAAGCTTGTAATGCTAGATATTAAAAGTAGACCTTTTTATCAGCGGACCTATTGACCGGGAGATGGATGGGAGGATCGCGCGCCATCGGGCAGAAAGAATAGCGTGGTGAGAACCAATCAGCATGTTCAGCACACAAGTCCCACCCCGAAAGTTCCTGAACTCTGAAAAAGTACCACCTCGCCAGCAGGGACTTTCTGGGGGGGAGATTTTTACCCGGAACTTCATTTAGACCCTGGTTCCTGCAGTGTAAATATAGCAGCGGCAGTAATTATAATTCGACTACGAACTGTAAATAATCACCAAAACTTCTATAGAATTAGGCAATCAGGTTCGTGCACCGAACAAACAGAGAAGTGGTTCCGTAGAAAGAAATACACTTTTATTAATCAAATTCACAGCAAAAATAGTAAACACTCTGAAAAGCTGACGTCAGAAGATTCTAAAAAAAACACTACACACTGGGTAAGAGTCCATACCACATCACAGCACTCCAATGGAGATAGAATAATTAATCATAATCAATAAAACACAATAAAAAAAATAACACACAAAGATGTGTGAATCAGTGTCTTCTTGACATTAAGTATTTTAACAGACACACAATCACGATACCGGGCTTGAGGCTTACTGGTGGGCGTCCAGCGATTTGGGCATGAGTATCAGAATAATCCAACCACACGTGCACCGCAACACAATCAGCACAGCAACGTCACACTGTGATGGTAACCCTGCTACACACACTAAAGAGGGCCCAGACTAGCAACGATGACAAAACAAATAACTTTTCCAACAACAACCACAAAGGAAATGAAATAAAGTTGAAAGACAACAGTAATGCATTTGAGTCAAATAAACAAACAACAAACAAACAAAGAAAATAACTCTACAGAACAACTAGTACAGGAAATAAACAAAAAAAATAAAATGAAATGAATTGACAAAACAACAGAAATAAACACAGAAGCAAATGAAATGACTTTACAAAATGACTATAGTACTGATAAAGGAAATAAAGAAGGAAATGAAATGACTTGGTAAAACAACTGTACAACTAATAAATGAAATAAACACAGAAACAAATGAAATGACTTAACAAAACGACTATAACACTGGTAAATAAAACAAACAAAAAGACAAATTAGATAACTTCTAGAAAATAAGGACACACAACCCACTCAAACAATCACGTAACACAGATACTCAGTCGGCCGCACAAGTGGCCTACGAGGTAGTTTCCTTGAGGGAGAATGAACTCAATCCATTAACTTGGCCTTGGCGGAAACAAGTTGATCATGTAGAGGAAACGTGCATTTCACAACATTCAAGCAAAGCAGCAGTTGCCTTGCCTGTAGTAGCTATCCCTACAACACACAATAGTTTCATTAGGCTACCACCCAAATAAGGCAAATAACATTACCCGAACGGAGAACTTACCTGAGCCACAGCGCGCGACACACAAATCTCGCAGGCGAGTCAACAAATGGCAAGTAGCACGTTATTCCGTTCAACTCAATGGAAAATGGCTAGCCGCAACACAGCAAGGATCCTTGCTGTAGGAGCTATCCCTACAACACACAATGGTTTCATTACACTGTAAAAAATTTCCTGTAGAATTTACAGGAATTTACTGGCAAAAAAGTTGCCAATAAAATCCTGTAAAAATGTTGGAAATTGCTGTAAAATTGATTACAGTGTAATACTGTAAAGCAATTTACAGTTAATTGTTGTATATGAAATGTATAGGTATACAGTAATTTATAGGGTTTTTTTACAGTAACATTGAATTAAACCTGTATTTTATTTTACAGCAATATTTTGTAATTTCACTAAAGTACAGTATTTACCTGGCAATAAAGTTGCCAATAAAATCCTGTAAATACCCCCAAAATTCAAGTAGATGCTGTAATAGTTTAACATTTAAAAAGCTGAAAAGAATCATTTTAATAGTAAACTGTACTCTATTATTTACCATTATATTGATGTAGATGCATTAAAATAAACATTTAAAAAAACAAACACAAAGTCAAAGCTGTTGTAGAAAAATATTTATTAAAATAATCAGCAAATTACTACAAGACTGGTAACAACAATTTTACCTTTTCAAGTACAGAAAATCTTTTCAAAATCAGTCACAAAATAACTAGAAATAAGGCTTAACACCAAGATACTGGGTTCAATAAAAGTTAAAGGGATAGTTCATCCAAAAATGAAAATTCTGTCATCATTTACTCACCCTCAAGTTGTTCCAAATCTGTATGAGTTTCTTTCTTTGTTGAACACAAAAGATGATATCTTAAAGAATTTTGGTAACCAGACAATTGAAAGTAAATGGCTACCACCAACTGTTTGATTACCAATATTCTTCAAAATATCTAAGTTCAGCAGAAGAAAGAAACTCATACAGGTTTTTAACAACATGGGGGTGAGGAAATGGTGAATGATTTTCCATTTTTGGGTGATAGTTCACTTTGAAATTAATTTTTGATATGTTTTATCTTACCTCAAGGGTATCCAAGATGTAGGTGTCTTTGTTTCCACAGCATTTTCAATTTTGACATTTTTTGGTCAAACCATTGTTGTCTGTCAGTCATATACTGGAGGTGAAGGGGGTCCTCAATTGGTTCACCTCAAAGAGCATGCACAGCGAAGTCCAAATTAAACATGATTTAATGACTCGTAAATGTAAGTACACATTGATGGCCTAAGACACGAAACGAGTGGTTTGTGTGAGAAAACGAACAGGATTTATATCGTTTTTACCTCTTGTAATCATAGCCATGACAAAATGATCTGCCGGCACGGGCGCTTCGGTCTGCGCATGCGCTGGAAGTGATCGCTTGCGCGCCTACGTCACTCTTTGTTTATACCATAGACAGTAAAAGAAATGGACAGAGCCATCTCATTGGAACTCCATTGAGACGATTGAAGCCCGTTTTTGGCGATTTGTTAGCACTTCCGTCCCTGACGCGCAGACTCAAACAGAGCTTGACGACGTAGATGTGAGGAGAGCAAACCGTCTGTCTTCTAGTGCAATCATTCCCATCCGATACATGCAGAGGCGGAGAGTATGAATAGGATCTGTCCATGAGCGAGGAGCAGGAGACACTTTTGCTAGGTATTCTGATTAATTATTTTGTCTTTTTGCCTCCACGTTTCCCAGATTGCGCGCGAGCTTCTCCTCCTGTACATACGGTAATCTCTTTCCTGTGCGACAGAGAGTTGTGTGGGTATGACGCAATCGTTAGCCTACTTTCACTAAAACTGCATCTACGGGGACATAACATAAGCTACAAGGTAATGGAGCTATTTATACATTGTCGTGTTTCTTTAGAAATAAATAAAGGACAAATGGGGCTTCAACTTCCGGTCGATGGATTACCACCTTGGTTTATACAGAGATTTCGGAAGTTTTACCTTTCACTAAACATATTTAGATATACGGGAAACCGCAATGGAAGACGATTTCGGTATATCTAAATATGTTTAGTAAAAGGTAAAACTTCCGAAATCTCTGTGTAAATATTGAGTGACGTCACACGCAAGTGATCACTTCCGGCGTAACATTGAACTGATTCAGTTCGGTTCAGTTGGACATTGAACAACTGATTCAGGTCACTTGGACGTCACTGTGACTACACGAGGTAAAAACGATATAAATACTGTTCGTTTTCTCACAAAAAACGCTCGTTTCGGGTCTTAGGCCATCAATGTTTACTTACATTTACGAGTCATTAAATCATGTTTAATTTTGACTTCTCTGTGCATGCTTTTTGGTGGACCCCCTTAGCCTCCAATGTATGACTGATAGACAACAACGCACTGTCAAAATTGAAAATACTGTGGAAACAAAGACACCTACATCTTGGATGCCCTTGAGGTAAGATCAAACATATCAAAATTTAATTTCAAAGTGAACTATCCCTTTAAGCTCAAACAACATTTTTGTTTCAAAGTACTTTTTTACATTTTGTGTAATTATAGACATCTCAGTTTTTTGTTTTATATATACATTTGACAACTCACATGCTTAACCACTCAAGGTCTACAGGGTAGCCTAATGAGAAGAGTAGACACATGAGGATTGACTGTGTTGTTCCTCTTCTCTGAGGTCTTTCCACTTTCATTGATGTTCTTGGTAAACATCTGCTCAAAAATCAGTCAGAAAAATACAAGCAGAAGCTTTAGGATCATGTGCAGACTTATGAAAATATACCACTTTACAATAAAGCATTATTTGCACTACTAAAAAGGATTTGTTCACCACAAAATGACATTTCTGTAATTAATTACTCGTTAATCTGTCACTACTGACCTTCATTCATTTTCAGGAACACACAGATGTGTTTGATGAAATCAGAGAGGTATCTGAACCACACATAGACCACAACGTCATTACAACGTCCGGGGCCCAGAAAGGTAGTGAAAACCTCATTAAAGTAGTCCATGTAACTTCAGTGGATCAACCTCAATGTTATGAAGTGATGAGAATACTTTTTGTTCTAACGTAGAACCTGGAAGCGATGCACTGTTTACTACAGCGTCAGAGGTTGACACAGAAGAGAAGAGATTTTGTGGTTGATCCAGTGTAGTCACATGGTATATTTTAACATTGTCTTAACTGCTTTTCTGGACCTTGGAAGTTGCAATGATTTTGTGGCCTATGTGTGGTTCAGAAACCCTGTAAGATTTCATCAAAAATATCTTAATTTGTGTTCCGAAAATGAACGAAGGCCAGTAGTTAATTAATGACAGGGGAACTAACATTAATTTTTAGATGAACTAATCCTTTAACATATACAAATTTATATTTCAGTAATCTCTTACCTTTGAACAAATTCAAGTGTGCAGGATGCCTCGTGCTGGTACACCAGATTAAAGTTGTAGTAAGTTGCAAACAAAGTAGCAAATTCAGCCATGAAATTGGGGTGTTGATTCAGAACCACTTGACCCTCAATACTCAGCATCCACTGGGTTGCAGTGAGAATTTCACCTAAAAATAAACAAATGAAGAGAAAAAAGAAAACAGTTTATAAAAATGTATGCTAAAATACAACAGGCAAAATGTATTAAGTAATTTAAAGATTCTGGAACGTACATTACCTAAGACAATCAGTCTCAGAGAGTCTGGAAGTGTAGAACTTTTTTCCACTTCAGCTGCTGTTGCTGACATCTACAATAATAATAAAAAAAATAATAAAAGGAAAAAAATGTAATGTAATTAAGTGCAGTATATGCAGTAAATGCAGTACAGACAGATTTCCCAGCCCTCATCAATATGGCATTTTAAAATGCCTAATTAAGTAATTCAGAGTTGTACATGCATGTGAAATGAGGGTATCCAATCTTGCAAATCAGTGTTGTGTCTGGTCAAATCTAGCACCTTTACAAGACTTCTGATAACCTGTATGGTCTCTATAAATGAAACTTAAAAGCTGCACATTTTTAAATGCACGTGAAAAGTCAGGTAACGTTACACCACAGGTAAAACAGCAGTTTAGAACATTAATGTGACCTACAATGATATTGCTATCATATTGACAATTTACAGTGATACATTTCTCATTTAGATTTAGGTTCAAGTTATATTAAGAAAACGATAAATATGGGAACTTTGAACAGAAAATAAAATTAACTTTCAAATCTTTTGCCAGTCATTTTGAATTTAGTTATGACGCAGGGATTTGTTAAACACTGGGTTTACTTGCTCTCAATAATAAATCCAAACTAGTGAAATAAATGATAAAATAGCAGCATCATGCAACGATGTTAAAATCATATTCTAATGTTTTTCATCAGCAAAGCTAACTGCACGTGCGTATTAACGTTCTGTCTTAACAGCACTTCAGAATGCCTTGTTTTCCAAACTGCAAATGCTCGAAAAAATACTCTCTGGAGAGCATGACGAACAGGCATAGGCCTGTTACTATCATTAGGTGCGTTCCATTCGACAGGGTCCCTACGCAGTGTTCACTGCTCCCTACTCCCTGAACACGGTATATCAGTTGAAGTGGACTTCACTGACTTCCTGTGAAGTGATGTACCAATGTTCCCTTATTCCCTATGCCGTTTGCAGTGCCCTTCGAACTGAAAATGTTCGTTCCCTTTAAAATGGAATCTCACTTAAGATGGCTAAATACCCTGTGAAGTCCACTTCGCAGTCCACTTATGGTCGAATGGAACGCACCTATTGTCCGCTGCAAATTGATTTGCGTTAAATAGTTATGATGCAGGCCTTTATTAAACACTGGTTTTACATGCTCTCATACGAAAATCGAAATCAAACGAAATCAAAACTGGTAAAATAAATGAGAAAATAGCAGCATCCAACGATGTTAATATAGCCTATTCCAATGTTTTTGTCAAGAAAGCTAACTCTCACCAAGACTTAAGTGGATCCGATCTGTCGTCTTGCAAACTGCAATGCTCTAAAATACTCTCTTGAGAGCAAATTCAAATAAAACTGTAACAAACTGCAGCATTCGTCCATAACATTTAAGATAGTTTTACCTTGTGCTTGTAAAAGTTCAGATCGCCTCACCACTGAGCGCGCGCCGTCGCGATTGCCTCGCCTGAAACAAGAAATTTAAAATTAAAGACACATTGCTTTACTAAATAAACGTAACGTTTCGATGGAAAATATAGGAATCAAACACTTTTACATCACACTAAATGTCCTGATAACACGCAGTTGTTAACAAGTCGATCAATAATTGCATGATATAATGACATGCCGATGTTATGAATTCTGTTCAAAATATGAATCGCTCATTAAGTAATACATTAGATTGTAAATATTTATGGGCGTAAATTTAAGTTAACTTACCAAAAATTGAGTAAATAGTGCCTTTTATCTTCAACTCGATCCTGCCCTGCTCCAGTCCACCAGATTTCAAATGTATTCAGCCCGCGCAATCCCATAATGCCACGTCACAGTAAATTGTTGTAAAACGTATGAACTACAGTGAAAACACCTCTTACCTGTAAATCAATTTACAGTTGACAGGGAAATATACAGTAAACAACTGTAATACTCCTTTTGACCCATAATGCATTGCGAATTACAGTAATAACTTGTAAAATGATAAAACAATACATTTCTGTAGAATTTTGCTGTAGAATCTACAGCAATTTTTTACAGTGTAGGCTACCACCCAAATAAGGCAGATAACATTACCCGAACGGAGAAAACTTACCTGAGCCACAGCGCGCGACACACAAATCTCGCAGACGAGTCAACAAACAGGCAAGTAACACGGTATTCCGTTCAACTCAATGGAAAATGGTTAGCAACACAGCAAGGAATTCTAAGAAAAAAATCTGAATCCCACATAAACCACCAGTAAACTAACACCGTCCAACATTTGCAGTAAAACATTTGCAGTACGTTCAAGCTTTAACATCCTCTTCCTGACACGATTGGCCACCACGAAACCCCACAAGCCAATCATGAACCGGACAGGCAGGATAAAAACCAATGAAACCAACTGGGGAGGAGGGACTGATTTCCACCACAGTCCATCCTGCCACATAAACACAGCGAGAACCACCCCAAAGTTCCTAGTTCCTGGGGAAAGTTCCTGCGGTGGAAACACGGCTAAATATTCTTTTCATTGCTCAGGTCTTAAAACAGTTGTTGGAGGCCATTGTTGATTTACCTCAGTCTGTTTATTGTAATGCCCTGTGCAGGTCATTATGTCTCAATCTCATACCAGATCTAGTATTTAGATGAGTCAGTGCATGCATGCCATGCGTCTGAGCTTTCAGTTTAACTACGGTGTATAAAATGTGGCTTAACGACTACAGATAAGTTTCACAAGTAGTTTTCTCACAGAAACAGTCTCTAACTCTAACTCTCACTGTATGATTCTGGCCACGATTTGGCCGTCTGAGACAAATTTAGCAAATACTAAAAGATTCCTCTGATCCCAGGCTAAAATCAGAATTTTTTAAACATTAGTTTCACATGTTCACCTACAGCCTATTAATGACAGTTGCGATAAAATTTGACCTCTCAGAAGACTTGACTCCCAGTCCTGCAGTGGGACGTTTCCTACGACGACCGTCAAATAGTCTTAATTTTTCAAGACAAGCCATGACCAAAATTAACATTAGAGATTTCTTTGTAGTCACCATTTCAATCCCACTTGTAATGCAGCTCACTGTCACCGAACATGTCATAGATTGATTATGTAAAGCTCTGGACAAGTTTTCTTGTGTGCGTCTGTTTTTAATGCTTTGAATCTATTCTTTCTGCTAATCACAGGTGATTTATTTTGGCTTATGCACACTTGTATTAGCTTTGAACATGTCACATCCTGTGAGAGCACTTTCCCAGACTCTTCAATGCCTGGTCCCGGACATGGCCGTTTCATTCTGTGAACTGAGTCACTGTGGTCTAAACTGAGAAAGAAAAACGACAAACCTGTGGGCACAACACCTCACCTTCTTAATACCATGTTGGGTTCTTTCGCAGAAAAAACTACTTTCAAATCAGGTTTTGGTGCTGAAACCCCTGTGCATATGGGTAACTTTCACCACAAGCAGACTTGGCACTGTTTCTTGAAAAAAGTTAGAGCACAAGACTGCATTTGTTCAAGAGATTTCCACAACGCATGCGCGAGAACTGAACTGAAGTACTTGAAGGAGATCGCAATTCTCGCGCATGCGTCGTGGAAATCTCTTGAACTCTCGTCTCAGGCTTACAAGGAAGAAAAGGAATAGTCGAATAAAGTCATTATTTTTGTTTGTTTGTTCGCATAAAAAGTATTCTCGTCGCTTGATAAACTTATACTTGAGCCACTGTTGTCAAATGGAATTATTATACATTTTCTTCATTGACTTTCTGGGCCGTCAAGTATTCGATCCCATCATAGCAGTGATCCACCTCTCAAATTTAATAAAAAATATTTTATTTGTGTTCCGAAGACGAACGAAGGTCTTACGGGGTTGGTACAGCATGGGGGTGAGTAATTAATGACTTTATTTTCATTTTTGGGTGAACTAACCCTTTAAGGTCATGTTTCTCCCAAATTGAATTTACACAATGTGAAAGAAAAAGGTGACAACATTAGGTTAGACCAGCAAAAGTAATTTTCAACGGGTCAGATCAGGTTTAAATAGCAAACTATTCGCCTTTGGCTAAGCCACGCCCTAGAATGTAGATTGACCACTCACAGCGCAGCCAAGAACGAGCTCCGACAGAGGTCGGACACTTTTTCACAGCGCTCCATTGACTTTCAACACAGGCGTCTCATATTTTTGGTCTCGGCAGGCTATTACCGTCGTAGTTTTATAAAAAATATGGTTAAACGTTGTGTCTCGGGCATTTGTAACATAGATACGCGTTTCCCAGAGAGGTTGGAGGAGGGTGTCTGTTTTTTCCCTTCTCAAAACCGAAGTCAAATCCTGACTGTGTCGTCTTTGGATTAAACTGAATGGACGTCCTCAGTCAGCTAAACCCCTCAAATATCAACAAGCACATCTTTTTTGCTTCTAACCTTACTGTGAAGTTATACTAGTTAGATCGTTTTATAATGTTTTAGGTTATGATTTCGGTTCTCATACCGGTTGTTGATACGCTAGCACACGCTGCTAATAAATACAATGTTATACTTGTGTAGTCCGTTTGCTTTGTAATAACGATTATAGAAGTGAATAGAGACCTAAACAGCTTTGCATGAACAGTGTTGCTCCCTGATATTGTTAGTCCCAGCCTCTGTCTTGATTAGGATATGCGGTGGTTCATTTTTTTGACTGTGACCGGAAACGTTATGCTTTTGCCTCTAGCCTATTTGTATGCCTTGTTGTTTCTTGCGTTTCACCTGTATGTCTTGAATATAGCCTTCGAACGCATATTGCAGCCCCTTTTGCCCACTTCTATCGGACACTTTATTTGCTGCTTCATAAAAGTTTGATAACATTTCAGCAGGAAGAGCTGTCATAGCATAAGCTATGCAGAGCGCAGATGAAGTTTGACGGATGTAGCAACAGTAACTAAGGGGGGCGGGGCTTAGCCAAAGGTGAATTTTTGCAATGTTCTGCAATGTTGAATGCAATGTTGTGAATTGTTGCAATGTTGAAACATATCTGCAATCCTCATCAACACCAGTGACCATTTACTCCTGAGTTGTATTGAGTAAATATCTGTTTAATCTGGTTTTCAAAAGTGCTGTGCCTCATGACAGGAAACATACAGAAGACACTAAGAAGGAAATCAAAGTCCAGAGAAGAACAAGAGAAAGTGAAAGTGTTTTCAAACCTGTCCTGGAGCACCCAGGACTGCACATTTTATGTCTCCCTCATCTAACTCTAACACAGGGTCAACATAGTAGGGATTCATGTGCAGCTTATTGCAAAACAGGAAACAAGTATGTACAAAAAAAGAGAAGTACCCAGTGCTGGGGGTGCTCCAGAACAGGTTTGAAAACTCCGGGCCTAATGCCGTAACTCCAAATTGGATTTTCCAAATCTGTTGTATCTGACTGCTTATTATACAATATAGTGGTGTTATAAATACCTGGGGGCAAGTCAGGCTCTAGTTGTCACATATAGATGTTATCTACATAACTATAAGGTTCTACAGTAAGTAAAAGTCCTATTACCCTTTTGTGGTAACAAAAACCCTTTTGTGGTTTTATATGATGCTTTCCAAATCTTGGTTTTCAAGTTCCTCAGGGTATTTCTGTCAAGGGGCAGGTTGTCACATGGGTTTTATGTTATAAATGTACTCCAGTCTATTAATTATATGGTCATTTCATTCACACACACACACGCACACACACACACACACATACATATATATATATATATATATATATATATATATATATATATATATATATATATATATATATATATATATATATATATAGTTGTTACTATATAACATTTCCACTCACTGTAAATATATTGTAAGTATATTCCATATATTGCCATAATCTGAATTGAGTATTCAGACAGACAATGTGTAATCAATGTAATCAATGACATGACCAACACTGGACAGTTAATCTTCCTGTCACTACTGTTTATTACTCTTCTCGTGACAGTTAACGGGTATTTGGTGCTCTGATGTATGTTTAGTTTTAGAGAAATTTAAATCAAAACACCCAATGAGGGGAATTCTAGTACGTAAACATGAAATTAACATTTTTTGTTTCACTTTTCTCTTGTTGTTTTTTATTCTGTTGGTTTCTCTTCCTCCTCTTAAAGCCATAGTAGTTCTTGTATTCCTATATTAAATTATATTGAACAAACCAAGTGTCACGGTCCTTTTCGGAACAGTCGATGGTGGGTATAGTGATTCCTCTTCAGAACAGCCAATGGTCAATACCTGCAGCGATAATGGCAAGGGATTCTCACAGCGGTTCCTCTCCAGGGCAGTGAATGATATCTGTACAGGCGATAGTAGAGTTGTGCACACATCATTGTCATCATTAAAAAAAAAAGACCAATAACACACACGGAGAATAGATCTGAGTCCCGCCCCCTGAACATACATCGCTAAACTGATTGGCTTTGTGTTTTCTTTCTAACTTGTCAGAGGCTGTAGTTACATTTGGTTGTGCGAAGCGGCAAAACTCATCCCAAGGAAACCTAGAGATGTGGTAAGTGACAGAAATCAACAGTTTTCTGCTCAAGAGTCAAGAATACGGGTCAAATCGCGTCAAAAATTGATTTGGGGACAGTCATTTTTAACATACTGACAATCGCGGGATATATGGCAAAGATAATTGTTAGTGTGTGTGTGTGTGTGTGTGAGAGAGAGAGAGAGAAGAGAGAGAGAGAGTGTGTGTGTGTGTGTGTGTGAGAGAGAGAGAGAGAGAGAGAGAGAGAGAGAGAGAAGAGTGTGTTAGTTTGAGATAATGTTTATGTGTGTGTGTGTGTGTGTGTGTGTGTGTGTGTGTGTGTGAGAGAGAGAGAGAGAGAGAGAGAGAGAGAGAGAGAGGAAAGAGAAGAGGTGAAGAGTGTGTTAGTGTGGGATAGAGAGAGAGTGTGTGTCTTTTTTTTTGGAAAATGTAAAAATGCAGAAAGTTTTCTGTGCTTCATGAAACACATGGTACACATATGGTTACTACTGAGCATGTATTTGCATTGTACTAAAATTGAAATAAAACTGAAATTCATTTTCTATGGGCATATAAGTGGCGGAAACAGACCTAGACTAGTGCATCCCAAAAATTTCTACTATCATTTTATTATAACATTATAGTCATTATGGCCATTAGACATTAATTAATTTATTTATTTATTTTGTGAGGAGGTGATAGCCCCCTGTGGCGCAGTCTAATCTTTTGTCCTTAAAGGGATAGTTCACTTTGAAATTAATTTTTGGTATGTTTTAGCTTACCTCAAGGGCATCCAAGATGTAGGTGTCTTTGTTTCCGCAGTATTTTCAATTTTGATATTTTTAGGTCAAACCGTCCTTGTCTGTCAGTCATATAATGCAGGTCTATGGTCAACACCTCAAAGAGCATGCACAGAGAAGTCCAAATTAAACATGATTTAATGACTCGTAAATGTAAGTACACATTGATGGCCTAAGACACGAAACGAGCGATTTGTGTGAGAAAACGAACAGTATTTATATAGTTTTTACCTCGTGTAACCACAGCCACGTCCAACTGATCTGAGGGCACAGGTGCTTCGGTCTGCGCATGCGCCGGAAGTGATCTCTCGCGCGTGTATGTCACTCATTGTTTACCGTACCTTCAGAGTACTTGGACGTGTCTGTGATTACAAGAGGTAAAAACGATATAAGTACTGTTCGTTTTCTTACACAAACCGCTCGTTTCGTGTCTTAGGCCATCAATGTGTACTTACATCTACGAGTCATTAAATCATGTTTAATTTGGACTTCTCTGTGCATGCTCTTTGAGGTGGTGACCATAGACCTCCATTATATGACTGACAGACAAGAACGGTTTGACCTAAAAATATCAAAAAATTGAAACTACTGACTGCAGAAACAAATGCCTCGTTTCCACTGAGGGGTACGGTACGGTACAGTACAGTACGGGTCGGGTCGGGTACACCATGATCAGGCTTGTGTTTCCACCGCCAACAGTACCCTTACTTGATAGGCATGGTATGCTGGAAAGAAGCGATCGACATCATTTTCGCGCGAAGAAAGCGACATAGTAAACAACAATGGATGAAAAGTACAAAAAGATATACAGTAAAGCTTAAATATAACATCAAGAAACAATTCAGTCAGTCAAATAT